AGTTTTTTTCGTTTTTTCTTCACTATCGTTCCACCTCCCATCTCTAAACTCAATATCAGGTGCCATAATGCCGAAACACGAGCCTGACTTTTGCCTTTAAGGCACAATTCCATTGTAGTATGAGCAAAAACAGGTAGTCTGAGGTGCTATTAATTTTTACGAGTATGCACCTCACTGTGCACCATATTATTTGTATAAAGATGTTCTCCAAGCAGATAGCAATAGGGCATTCCGCCATACCGACGCGGATAACGTGGGGAATGCCTGGAAAATCTTTCTATCAAATTCATAGCTACTCTATGCTCATCGTCATTATTTAGGTATCAATGCAGACTACATGATGTTCTATCAAGGCGGCATTTCTCATCCGAGATCCTGTAATCCAGCTGCTTTGGATCACGGCGTTCTTCTCGTCGGATACGGTGTCGAAAAGAAGATGCCCTATTGGATTATAAAGAACTCATGGGGTTCTGATTGGGGGGAAAAAGGATATTACAGGTAACGATTGTTTCATTCTTCGCATTGTGTCCACACAGTACACAGGGCGGTCACAAATTACGTTAAGAAGCTAAAGTGATCATGAAAAATCGACACAGTTGAAAAGGAACAAGTGGATAGCACAAATATTTCGTTGAAGGTTAACACGCCAAAATCAGAATTACTTCTCAAAGTAGCCGCCAGCCGCATTGACACAGTAGCGAAGTTTTCAGGGAGCTCATTAACCACATCGTGAGATCGACGAGTTGAGCTCGTCCGAACCATTATTGAACGAGTTTTCAAACTCTTTGAAGATTCGACGAGCCCAGAGCTGGCTCTCTTCGCGAGCATAAACAACTTAGTGATCCTTTGCATTCAAGTGGAGAGAACTATTATACATGATCCTTCCTCGGACGCAGTGCTTCCCACGAATTCTATTTGTACCAACTTTGGCCATCTCTCGTTTTGCATATGGCGCTCTTTCTTACCGGAACGTCCAGCGATCCCTGCGCAGTTCCCTCTGGTCTGTAACATCAGCCAAGCTTGGGAGATAATTCTCTATGCTAATTTTCATGTAGACCGACAGCATCAATAAGCTGAATAAGGGAGCCATACAGCCACTTCCTTCGAATCCAGTACTGTTAGAAGGACTAAAGTTAGCTTACGATTGAAGTAGATCATTAGCTCTGCCTAACTGAAAGCGGCTCAATCGCAGCCATCATATTAGGAACCAAAAGATCAAAGTATGGCACTTGTTACAAAATCGAGACAGCACTACTCGCACC